CTCTCAGCCTTCTCTTCTTCAGGCTAAACATGCCCAGCTCTTTAAGCCGCTCCTCATAGGGCTTGTTCTCCAGACCCTTGATCATTTGAGTCGCCCTCCTCTGGACACATTCCAGCTTGTCAATTGTGATGCCCAGAATTGGACACAATATTCCAGGTGTGGTCTAACCAAGGCAGAATAGAGCATGGGGAGCATCAGAAATGGTAGCTTAAAACTTCATTCTATTTAGGTCACCCAATTTAAATAATGCCTTAGCCCAGTGTTTCTCAACCTTCCTAATGCTGTGACCCCTTAATACAGTTGTGGTGACCCCCAACCATAACATTATTTTCGTTGCTACTGTAATGTTGCTATTGTTATGAATCGTGATGTAAATATCTGATATGCAGGATGTATTTTGACCTTCTTGAAGGTTGTTTCCTAGTTTCAAATGTCCTTCTCAAAGCTCACTAAAGTCAAAGATAATTCCAAAAGGTATATCACAAGCGTCCTGCTTGAACGAGTATTTAATAGGAAAAGTTAAATGAAGTACCTTTTCTACACTATATATCAATGACACATTTTACAGGTCTATTTTAGCAGTTTTGTTTTCATGCCATAACTTCTTTCGGGGAGTGTTTTGGGGGTCAAATCTTGTGAGTCATATGGAAAGAGGCCTATCATCATGACTTCTCACAGATAAAAGCATCTAACGTGTATACGCACATTTGCATTTCGTGTATCGAGGCTTTAAATCCAAGCTTGTGCCTGCAACAGATCCCAAACAAGTTGACTCATCGACTCAGCCAACATCCATCCATCCAAATTTCATGAGGATACATGTAGAACCCACCCCACTTTAACTAAGATGAGGAAGAAGGTATCAAGAGCAGGCTTTTTTAAAGTAGTGACATGCCATAACATCCTTCTTCCCTTCACTTTCATGCCCTCAGAGACAGTCATTAGTCTCTGTAATAAGGAAGTGATTGTACAGCAGCGCAGGTGCAGAGCAAACCCTTTCTTCCAGAGCCATTACTGTCTCCCTGGTGCATTACAATAGAATAATTGAGCAAAATACCTTGCTCTGTTTGACTCCATCCATCTCAAAACAGTCACTTGAGCACTAAAGTTACCCATAATCTGCTCCGTTGGGAGAGGAATTTCTTTTAAAATATATATGAATAATTATCCATGGGAGTGTTGGGAAATAAATCCCCAAGCAACACAACACTGCCTACAAGTTTCAAGGCAAGCTATTGCTTTTGGAGTTGAAATCATCTATTGAACTGATGGCAAGTTATTTAACCTCAGCAGACTGAAAGCCAAAACCAAGGTCTCAACACTATCTGTTATAGAACTCCAATATGCTGATGATAACCTGGTCTGTGCACATTCAGAAGACCTACAAGCCACTCTCAACACCTTTGCAGAAGCATACAAGAAGCTCAGCCTCTCATTGAACAAACGAAACACCAGTCTTCCATCAGACAACGGGCAATGAACTAAGCAAACACAAAGCAGATTCCATTGGAGTGGAAACAGCAGTATCAGGGTCGTTGTTACCAGCGAAAGCTGACTGCTCCTGCCTCTGATTTATAGCCCTGAATTCCCCATGCAGGAGGTACTAGGGTGTCTCCCAATTAGCTCAGCGTTTTTAGCAGCTATCCTAGCTGAACGCCGTCTGTGCTCTGTCCCTTTTCTTCTCTCTAGAAGTGTGGGCATTTTCAAACCCTCATCGTCCAATTCTTCTTCTCCCTCCAATTCCTGAGCAATTCCCTGCTCTCCTTCCTCTTCCGAAGATGAGGAATCTCTAACAACCTTCTAGGTCATGTGGCCAGCATGACTGCACGGAGCGCCCTTACCAGAGCGGTACCTATTGATCTATTCCCATTTGCATGTTTTCAAACTGCTAGGTTGGCAGAATCTGGGCCTAACAGCGAAAGATCACCCTGCTCCGAACCGTTGACCTTTCAGTCAGCATGTTCAGCAGCTCAGCGGTTTAACCTGCTGTGCCACTGGGGGCTCCATATTTATATAAACATACAAAAAAACCCTTATTCTGCTTCAGATAATAATAATAATAATAATAATAATAATAATAATAATAATAATAATAATAAACCTTTATTTGTACCCCGCTACCATCTCCCGCAGGACTCGGTGCGGCTTACAAGAGGCCGAGCCCAAAGTACATCATTAACAAAAACACAACAGACAACAATACAATGCAACAATAAATAAGCAAACAATAAAACAATAACAAAAGCACGACACTGTTAAAAACCTGTGGCAGGGCCAAATGTAATAGTTAAAATTCTAAAAATGCTGGGCATGTCCAGGTGAGGTAGAATGGATATTTTGGGAATAGAAGGGTGTGCAGACAAATCTAACTCTCTCATAAAGTGCATTAGGGACAATTGCTTGGGATTCCTTAATCTGGGAAGGCACACTGGAACATCCATGTTTTCAAGCTCCTTCTGAAGACTGCCAGTGTTGGGGAGTGCCTGATGTCCTTGGGGAGGGAGTTCCAGAGTCGTGGGGCCACCACCGAGAAGGCCCTGTCCCTCGTCCCCACCAATCGCGCTTGCGATGCTGGTGGGATTGTGAGCAGGGCCTCACCAGATGAACGAAGGGATCATGTGGGTTCGTATACGGAGATGCGGTCACGCAGGTAGGTGGGTCCCAAACCGTTTAGGGCTTTGTAGGTAAGCACCTGCACCTTGAATTGGGACCGGAAAATGAACGGCAGCCAATGGAGCTCCTTGAACAGGAGGGTTGACCTCTCTCTGTAAGGAGTACCAGTTAACAGCCTGGCCGCCGCCCGTTGAACCAACTGAAATTTCCAGGCCGTCTTCAAGGGCAGCCCCACGTAGAGTGCGTTACAGTAGTCCAATCTGGAGGTGACTAAGACAGTTAAGAATCAGTATGAGCTTTTTTGCCTTTCTAGTAATTGAATAGAAAGGAGAGAAAAGCAGATTTTGGTTTGCCATAGCATTCCTCTCTGCTTATTTCACCATTGACGGACTCTCCAATCTGTTTCTTCTGCTTCCCCAAGCGCACCAAAATGAGTTCTGCCAACGCAGCTGAACATGTCCATTTCTACAAAAAAGCATCCTAATCTATGAGCTACCTACTAGATCACATCAATCTCGTTTAGACCTGCGCTCCCCTGCAGTAATTACATTAAGGAAAGAAGGCTGAAGGGAGGAGGGGGAGAGCACAAATGAGTTGCCAGCTTCCCAGTTAAGAGATGGAGCCAACTAGCCATGTTTTTGTAGTATTTCAAAGGGCGACTTCACAGCCTTTCCAAGCAGATGCACTTCTTGAATTCAAACAGCCTGCATTAAGAAAAGAGGAAATTGGAAATGCACGAAAACCATGAAAAATTCAAGCAAGATGCCTTTAGACAGACAAGATGTCACTGCAAGCCCTTGCTCGAGTTGAGATATTGGGATCTATAAGGAAGCCATTTTCTCCAGCCCAGCGCAAAGCATCCCGCAGCCATGATTTCCATGCCATTTTCCTTTTATTTTGACAGCCTGCTATCTTTCCCAGTGGCTTCCAAGAATGCATTTGCAGCACTTCTGAGAGATTGGAAGGAAAGTATTGATCAAGATACAGCAATTTGTAAACGTGGGGGAAATCGACAAAGCACGCGGCTCTAACGCAGATTCTCTTATTCCGTCATCTCTCCTTTCCTTCGAGAGAAAGAGCAAATATTTCGTTTCACAAGCCTGGGAGATGCCGCTCTGTAACCAATTATATGCGCATAGGAAAAACGCGCAAGCGGCCACCCACACTGTGAAATATTTCGGATTACATGTGTGCCTCTGGAAGACACAAGCCACATTTATACAGTCACAATTCAGTCATTACAATCATAGATTTCTAAAGTTGGAAGAGACCTCGTGGGCCATCTAGTCTAGGAAGTGATAAGGGCCAAATCCATTGGCGAGTGACCTTTCCTTTAAGGCAATGTTTCTCAACCTGGGGGTCGGGATCCCTGGGAGGGTCGCGAGGGGGTGTCAGAGGGGTCACCAAAGACCATCAGAAAACATAGTATTTTCTGTTGTTCATGGAGGTTCTGTGTGGGAAGCTTGGTCCAATTCTATCATTGGTGAGGTTCAGAATGCTATTTCATTGTGGGTGAACTATAAATCCCAGCAACTACAACTCCCAAATGCTGAGGTCTATTTTCCCCAAACTTCACCAGTGTTCACCTTTGGGGATATTGGGTATTTGTGCCAAATTTGATCCAAATTTGATGTAAGATTGCTGTTTTCAATGCATGTATGCTGATGATTGTGCCATCACTGCTCAAGCAGGGAGCTCTGAGATGGCTGAACAGAAGCTCTCCGAAGCTCTAGGTGCTCTTACTGTCTATTACAGGGAAACCCAGCTGATCCCTAACCCATCTAAAACACACACATGTGCCTTTCACCTTAAGAAGAGACAAGCATTCGGAGCTCTGAGGATTATTACCTGGGAAGGAATCCCACTGGAGCATTGCAGTGCATCCAAATACCTGGGAGTCACT